TTTTTTGTTCCAGATGAATTTTTGGAGAGTTCGTTCTAGATCTTTGAAGTAGGCCATTGGTATTTTAATGGGAAGTGCGTTGAATTTATAGATTGCTTTGGGTAGTATGGACATTTTAATGATGTTGATTCTACCAATCCAAGAACATGGTATGTTCTTCCATCTCTTTATGTCTTCCTCTATCTCTTTTTTCAATGTCCTGTAGTTTTCTGAGTAGAGGTCTTTTACCTCTTTAGTTCAGTTTATTCCTATGTATCTTAATTTTTTTGGTGCGATGGTAAATGGGATTGTTTTTATAATCTCTCTTTCTGAAAGTTCACTATTGGTGTATAGAAATGCCTCAGATTTCTTGGCATTAATTTTGTATCCTGCTACTTTGCCAAATTCATGTATTAAGTCTAGTAGTTTTTTGATGGAGTCTCTAGGGTTTTGTATGTATAATATCATGTCGTCTGCAAATAAGGACAGTTTTACTTCCTCTTTTCCAATTTGGATGCCTTTTATTTCTTCTTCTTGTCTAATTGCAATGGCTAATACTTCCAGTACTATGTCGAACAGGAGTGGTGAGAGTGGGCATCCCTGTCTTGTTCCTGTTCTTAAGGGAAATGGTTTTAGTTTTTGCCCATTGAGTATGATGTTGGCTGTGGGTTTGTCATATATGGCTTTTATTATATTGGTCAATCTTTTATTTTATTCTCACCCCAGGATATGTTTTTTCTGTCAATTTTTTAAAGAGTGAAAGAAAAAGAGAGAGAGACATTGATTGGTTGCCTTCCACACTCTTCCGGAGCTAGGGATTAAACCTGCAATCAAGGTATGTGCAAATTGAACCTGCAATCTTTTGGTGTATGGGCCGATGCTCTAAGCACTGAGCTTCACCAGACAGGGCCAAATGTTGATCTTAAATGTTATCACCACAGAATAAAGGGTAATTTGTGAGGTGATGGAGGTGTTAATCTAATTGCGGTAATCACTTTTAATATATGTTTGTATAAGATCATCATGTTGTATACCTGAAATTTACATATTATGTCAATAATATCTCAATAAATAGGAAAAATAAAGTAATAAAATACAGCTTCCAGGTTCCCGTTTAGAGACTCTGATTCAGAAGGAGTGGAGTGAGGTCAGGGACCCTGAGTTTCCACAAGCATCCCAGGTGATTCTGTGTAAGGGGTCCCCACGGCACCCTGAGCAAAGCTGGCACACCTGGCCTGGAGGAGGAAGTGTGTTGCTGCAGGTGCGGGGATGTGAGAGGCTCCAGCAGGGATACCCTCGGCTCAGCTGGCCTGGCGTCTCCCCACCCTAGATTCTTCACTTCTCAGATGGTGAGGAGGAGACACGCTTTGCAGAAGGTGAGTTCCAGGCTGGGCAGATTCTCTGCCTAGACTTTGGGCCCTGCTGAGCCCTGACCCCCACTTGGGGATTAAATGGAAAGCCTGTGTGTCACCCCAACTCAAACCAAGGGAGGCTTCAATACTGTCATCAATGAGAGGCCAAAAGAAAGATTAAGATGGGTTATAAATTATTGATGGGTTATAAATTAATGGGTGAAGGCGTGTTTGCAATTTGACAGTGAAAGCCTTAGCAAGAAGTGACTTGTTAAACTGAAGCAAAGGAACATGAATTCTAGCTATTTGGGGAGATAGATTCCAGGTGGAGGAACTAATCTAAGGAAATTCCTGGCATATGAACAGCTGGAATGAGAATTCACTGGGAAGTGAAGTCAAGTGCCTGCAGGCTGTTGTTGATTCTTATCATGACTTTGTTTTACTTGAAGTGGGATTGGCAAGTAGTGGAGGGGTCAGATCCTCAGGGAGGCGTGTGATGCACTTTCAAAAAGATGCTGTGATTGCCATGTGGACAGTAGACACACAGGAAGGGCAGAAGCAGGAAGTCTAGTTAGGGGATAGGAATAATCCATGTAAGCGTTGATGGTGGATGGGGCAAGGGCATTGGCCCTGGAAGTGATCAGATAGACCCTGGTCTGTGGGAAGGCAGAGCAACGTCTACAAGAGTGGTGTGACATGGCTTCCTACAGCTCTGACACTCAGAAAAGGAATTCTGAAACAGTCTGGTTGGTAGGGAGTGAGGTGATGGATGAAGAAGCAAGAAGTGAGGGGGAGGAAGCATGAGTGGTGCGAATCAGGGCAGCTGTCGTGGAGGCCTCCAGGGAAGAAATTCCAGAAAGATGGGTCACCGTGCTCTCAGGGAATGTGTAAGGACACGCTTACCTTCCATTTTCCTGTAGTTTTCCATTTTTAAAAGGTGTATGGTTGGTATCCCCACACTAAAGCTAAGTCTGTGGAGTTGGGGACTTGGTCTTACTAACCTTGATACCCCAATACTGGAATCGAAAAAATGTGTAGAAAGTGTAGACCCCAAACCTAGAAACTAGCTGGCCAACTGGCTGGCTCAGCAAGGGTGGGGCTCTGAGAAGCTTTAAGGAAATGGAGAGGGAAGGCGGGGGTGGGTAGGAGGGTTTGGGGGAAAAAATCAGGGAAGCTGTCGGAGGCCTCCAGGGAAGAAATTCTGGAAAAATGGGTCACCAGTGCAGGGAATGCAGGGGTGGGGAGGAGGGTTTGGGGGAGAGCAGAAACCAAGAAGCACATGACTGAAACTTGTAAGGCCTTGGGGGTAGGAAAGGGGAAAGAAAGTAGAGGAGGAAGAGGAGAAGCAGGTATGAGTCAGGAATGGACAGGGAGGGGCCAAGAAATTTCCAAGAAACTGAACAAGGCCAACCTGAAAAGAAAGCTAGTGGGGAATTTTCAAGAAAATAAGGTGCGGGGCAATGGCCACCCCAGCTCAGTCTCCCCTGAAACCTTAAGTAAATTGGCGTCGCTTATGCTTACACAGGGGACCAAGCACTACCCTGTGACATGGGCACAAACAGAAGACGACTGTGCGAGGTTGCCAGGAGGGAGGCATGGGTGCTGCTTGCACACTGCAGGGAGGAATGTGGAGCTTCTCTGCTTTTCCAGGATGGCTGCTTCCCCACTGGCGGCTGTTCCCAGTGGAGGACCAGGGATGCTCAGCTGTGGCTGCACACTCACTGCCCCAGGTTTCCCGTTTATATCCCTCCTCTGGGATGTCGGAGGTGCTTCCCGATGGAGAACAGGGAACTGGGAAAGGAAAGCTAGCAGCTGCTTATGGTGACGTTGGTTCAACGAAGCCTAATTAAAAAAAAAAACAACAACACAGACTTCCCTGGACTCACATAATGACAGGAGTTTTTAGGGGTAAAACAGGCAGGTTTAGGGAGTTTTAGGAATTAGGGGGTCCATGGGGGAGGGAGGCACAGTTGTTTGGGGACTTGGAGCTGGCAAAAGGCATACATTCACAAAGAATTAAAGATGCCACAGAATAAGGGGAGAGGAAGACACCCATTCACAGAGGGTAGGGGAAAGCACAGGGAGTAGAGAAACAAAAGGAAGAAAGAGGAAAACAGGTTTTCACAGGGAATAGAGAATTCTACCATAGAAGGGGAGAAAAGGTGGGGGGGGGCAAGTGGGGTTTGAGCTTTGAAGCTGCTATAGTGACCAATAAGAAGGGAGCATCAAAAGACAAAGAACTGCAACCTTTATAAACCTTAGGAAAAAGGGGCTTAGTGGGTCACCCCCTTTAGGACCCTCTCCCCATGTCTGTACTTGTTTCAAATAAATTTCCACCTTTCCATATACCACCTTTTATCCATGGCTTCATTCTTTGAATCCACCTGGACAGGAACCTGGAAAAAAATCCAACTTTGCATCCTGCCCAGAGGAAAACCACCCATTTCAGTTTGTTTTTTGAGTTTCAATAATTCACCCCAAACAGCTGAGTCACATTTTCTTGGCTTCTAGAATGTTCCAGAGTAGGGCAGAGCCCTTAGGTACTGGCATATGGCACAGTGGTATATGCACCTACAAAATTGTATATTTCGAGTCTGTTGTTTTTACAACGTAAATTTGGGAAGTAAATTCAGTCTGGGGAAATCTTTTGGGCTGGTGGGTCATGTAGAAAGCACAGCCGTTAGCCTTCTGTCACATGGAGTGGTTGTCCCGTTCCCCAGGTGGGGAAGGGCAGGTGTGGGACTTGCATGAACAGTGGATGGAAGAAGAGGGGATAAGTGCCTTGTGAAGCACCCTCAGCTGCCCTTCTGAGCGTCAGAGCTGGGATTGCCTGCTCCCACAGGCTCCCCTCTGCCAGGCATTGCCCTTCATCCCATGAGGCCACAGGAGTGATCACGAAGTAATTAGAAAGTAAATGGTTTTGGGGCAAGTTGGTTTGTCCTTTTAAAAAGAAATCTCCTTGCCCTAATTGGTTTGGCTTGATGGATAGAGCATCAGCCTGCAGACAGAAGGGTCCCAGGTTTGATTCCAGTCAAGGGCATGTACCTTAGTTGTGGGCACATCCCCAGTAGGAGGTGTGCAGGAGGCAGCTGATCCATGTTTCTGTCTCATAGATGTTTCTCTCTATCCCTCTCCCTTCCTTTCTGTAAAAAAATCAATAAAATACATTTAGGAAAAAAGAAATCTTTTTCTTCATCGCTAAAGATTGTTGTAAAATCGATTGCACATGCACACAGGAGGGGTTTGCATTAATTCCCATTGAACAGAGTCTCTGCCCAGGGTCCTGCATGTACCTATTCTCTCCTATCTCTACTTTATCTCTACCTTTCTTGCAGACACACGGCCACATCTTACACAGTGCATTTAAGGTGGCATGTCACCAAATAATTGTTCCAGCAATCATTCATCCATGAACAAACCCACGAATCAGACTTGCTTAGACTGTTCTCTGGGTCAGGAACAGACACGCTCTGCTTCTGGAGATCCTATCTACTGTGCTGTGGGACAGCCTGGCAGAGACAGTATATATAGAAACCCTGCCTGATTCTAGTCTCCACTCGGTTGAGAAGGACTTGAGAGGTAAGACCGTGATCCGGAGCTCAGCCCCAGACCTGGTCTGGAGGAGGCGAGGGCCTCATCTGCTGCTTGTTACAGGATATTGCCCTGGAACTTCAGTTGGGGACCAGCTGGTGGGAAGAAAACATGACCAGTGGAGTCACACTTCTCTGTTCTCCGGATTTTGTCTGACCTCAGGCGGTCTGGAGATTGGAAGGAGCACTACCCATTGGAGCCTTTCTCTATAAGACAAGACAATATACAACTGGTAAGTTCTAACCAGGGACCAGGGGGTGAATAAGAAGATACTGTTATAAGTGGAAATGGGGTTCTTGAGATGCTACAAGGAAAAGAATTCCCTGAGGCTCCACCAGGAGGATGGGGTTTCATGGAGTGGAGAGCTTTATTGATGATGTAAAATTAAGGGGTTGCCCTCCAAGGTCCCATCTCTGTCCATCTTGCCATGGAAGAAGTCCATTCTTGCCTTCAGCAGGGCTAGGATCAAGGCCACTGCCCAGAATTTTTGTTCCAAGTTAAAGTCTAATCCAGTCAGCATCTGGCTGGCTTAGCTGTGTTCCCAGCTGGGTCCATTGTGTGTGGGGTCAGCAAGGCATGGACCACGGGGCTGTGTAAGGCCACATGGCTATGGAGAGAGAATAGGGGAGCACATG